CATGTGTATCCTTTGGGCTTTGGAGACCACAGGCAAGTGCAACTTGAAGCAGTGGAGAGGGGCACCACACAGACGCCACGTCTCCTTTCTGACTTTTTTTTAACAAAGTATCTTCAAACACAGCATGGGAGGGACTGCTGGAGAATACAGGGCTGAAATCAGACATACCCCCTTCTACCGGCTCTTTGTGTCTCCCTCCTGGCAGCACCCTCCCACAGGCCCTTCATTTACTTACTTATTTTGAAGCAGGGTCTTATGTACTGTGGCCCTGTCTGGCCTCAATTGTGCTGTGTAGCTGAGCATAGCCTTGAACTTCTGACCTCCCTGCTTCCACCTCCCAAGTGCTAAGATAACAGGTGTGCATCCCATGTCTGGTTTAGGCAGCACTAGGGATTGAACCCAGATTGTGTGCCAGGTGGACAAGCACTGTCAACTGAGCTATTATCTAACCCATTTTTTTTTTTAAGACTAAACCTTTCTCAGCCACCAGAGTGCTAAGGTTACCCATCCCTGCCCCACCCCAGGGTCCTTTTATACCCATATCACAGAGCCAATCACACTGACACTGGCCAGCTCTAGGCTCTCTCTCACTTCCCATCGGTATTAGTTTGCTTTTCTGTAACTGTGATAAAACACCACGACCGGGTAGTGGTGATGCACACCTTTAATCCCAAATCTCAGGAGGGTGCTGTGAGTTTGAGGTCAGCCTGATCTACAGAGCTAGTTCCAGGACAGCTAGGGGTTGTTACACAGAGAAACCCTGTCTCAAAAAACCAAACCAAACAAACAAAACACCACCATGACCAAAAGCACCTTGGGAGAAAAGGGTTTATTTCATCTTACAGGTTAGAGTCCATCGCCTAGGGAGTCAGAACAAGAGCTCTCAGCTGGCCACTGTAACAATCAGCTTTGTCACTGTAACAAAATCCTGAAATACTCAAGAAGAAGAGGAAGGAGGAGGAGAAGACAAAGAGAAAAGAAAAAAATAAAAGAGGGACTGAAGAGATGGCTCAGTGGTTAAAGGAGCTGGCTGTTCTTCCAGAGGACCTGAGTTCAGTTCCCAGCACCTACATCAGGCTGTTCATAACTGCCTGTACTCCAGCTCCAGAGGATCAAAGCCCATCTTCTGGTCTCCAAGGACACACACACACACCACACACACACACACACACACACACACACACACACACACACAGGCAGAAGCCTAGAGGCAGAAACTGGAGCAGGGACCATGGAGAAGCTGCTGACTGGCTCTCTTTCCAAGGCTTCCTCAGCCTATGTTCATATACAACCAGGGACCAACTGCCCAGGGGTGGAAATGCCCACAGTTGACTGGGCCCTCCCACATCAATCATTAATAAAGAAAATAGCCCCACAGATATACCCACAGGCCAATCTGATGAAGGCAACCCTTAAATGGGGAACCCTCTTCCCAGATAAGTCTGGTTTGTGTCAAATTGAGGAAAACTAACTGGTCCCTCTACTGTTCCCACAAGGTAGGCTGACATCGAAGGTCTCGAGGTGATCATTGACTAAGATGGACCCTAAGTCTAGTGACAGGAGTTTGACAAGAGAAGTTCAGAGACACGTAGAGGTGATCGTGTGAAAACAAAGGCTGGAACTGTGTGCTCACACGCTCAGGCCACCTGGAACCCCTGGAAGAGGCACAAGGCAGGAAAATGTCTACCCCACAGTCTGGGAGGGTGTGAAGCGCTGCACAGCCGGGGATGTCAGACTTTTTGTGTCCAGAGCTGTACAAATAAATTGCCATTACTAAGCACCCAGTTGTGGTCATCTGTCACAGCAGCCCCGGGGTACTAGCACATGGCACATCCTTACACATGGTGAAACTGGCACAGTCAAGGGAAGAGACTGGACTATAGGCAAGCCTCAGTGCACACCACATGGGCAGCAGGAAATGGCTGCTCCCCCCAACTTGTGGCAAGTTGGTACCTGTGGACAAAAGAGTATCCAAGGGAGCCAGGGATGTCCAAGGAAAGGAATGTCACATTGGGGCACAGTGTCACAGCAGCCGAGACCCAGCTGGTTTCTTCCAGTGTCCCTGGCTGGCCCCTGTGTCCTCCTTTCCCCTCCCTGACGTCTGTGAAACCTACAGTTCCCAGAGTCTAGCTTAGGGACCTGCACAGGGGAAGCACATGGTAAATACCAGCTAATGGTGATGATGAAACAATTTGCAAAATAGGAGCTTGGGGACCCAGAGGCCTGACATCTGCACAGAGCGAGTGCCCAGAGGGAAATGAGTTAATGAAAGATGTCTGAGGGATGGCAAGCCCCCATCAGAGTGTGTGTGTGTGTGTGTGTGAGTGTGTGTGTGTGTGTGTGTGTGTGTGTGTGTGTGCGCGCGCGTGCACGCTCCTCGCACGCGCACCTGCATGTGTAAGACAGAGAGAGGAAAAATCAGAAACTGTGGTCCTATTTTATGAACCAGAAACTAGCCCTGACACTAATGAGATCACTTGCCCAACATGTAGGAAGCTGAGTTCTCGTCTTCAGGTATTGAAATAAAACAAAACTCAGCTTACTCTGTCGGTCTCTTGTCGGTGATAGACTATGGCTTAAGACTGAATGTCCTGGATTCAAGGTCATTCCAGAAGCTGGGTCACTGAGCCTTCAATCTCCACCCATTTGTTGTTTGTTTATTGCTTAAGAGTCTTAAAGTATAGTGCTAGCTAGCCTGTGTTCACTACATAACACAAGCTGACCTCAAATTTGAAGCAATTTGAATGGCAAGATGGCTCAGCAGGCTCAACCTGGTTCAATTCCTGGAAGTCACATGAAGTGGGAAGAAGAGAAGCAATGCTACAAAGTTGCTGTTTGACATCCACGTGCTCACACTCTTCATAATGGCAAACACCTGTCCACACACACACACACACACACACACACACACACACACACACACACGTTTACATGCATGCAGTAATACTTTTTCTAAGATTCATTTATATTTATTTTATGTGCATGAGTGTTTTGCCTTTATATATGTATGTGAACCATGTGTATACCTAGTGTCCACAGAGGTCAGAAGAGGCCAGTGGCTCCCCAAGAACTGGAGTTACAGATAGTTGTGAGCTGACATGTGAGTGATGGGAACCCAGCCCAGGTCCTCTGTAAGAGCAGCCAGTACTCCTAACAGTTCATTCCTCTCTCCTGCCCCATAAATAATCATTTTGTTTTGTTTGTTTGGTTTTTGAGACAGGATTTCTCTGTTTAGCTCTGGATGTCCTGGAAATCAATCTGTAGACAAGGCTGGATTTGGACTCAGAGATCTGCCTGCCTCTACTTACCAAGTGCTGGGATTAAAGGTGTGTGCCACCACCTCCTGGCTCATAAATAATGTCTTAAAAATTGAAGCAATCCTCCTGTCTCCAGTTCCTAAGTGATAGGATTATAGGCATAAGTCGCTGTACCTGGCTACAGCTCTGTCCTGTCTCTAATGGCAGCTTTATTAAGATACAAACTCACATGCTGTACAATTGCCCCATTTAAATAGTACAATTCACTATGAGTGGTGGCATTCCCCTGTAACCACAGTGTTCAGAAAGCTAAGTAGGAGGATCAAGAGTTTGAAGCCCAGGCTGCATTACTCAGAGGCAGTCTCTGTTTGGGGGGAGGAAAACAAAGCCAAAAGAAAAGTATAGGGTTTAATTGGTTTTAGTAGCATGGTTCTTTTGTAAAATTGCATTTATCTGTGTATGCATATCTATGTGTATGGATATATTCGTGCTATGCTGTTCCTGTGGTGGTCAGGGTTGGTTCTCTAGTTCCACCTTATGGCTCCTGGGGATTGAACTCAGCTATCAGGGTTGCTAGCAAGAGCCTTACTCACTGGCTGGCCAGCAAGCCCCAGGAATCCCCGTCTCTACCTTCTCAGTGCTGGGATTGTAGGCACATGCCACTGTGCCCAGCTTTTACACAGCAAGTACTTTATCAACTGTCATCTCCTCAGCTTGATTGTAACCATTCTAATAGTCATTTTGGTGGCACTAATGATATCACAGGCTAGGTGTGGTATCACACGCCTTTAATCCCAACACTTGGAAGGTAGAGGCAGAAGCAGGACAGCCAGGACTGTTGCATAGAGAAACCCTGTCACAAAACAACAAAACAAAACAAAAAAGGTCACCACAATGTGCAGCATCAATTTCTAAAGACTTTTACCACTTGGTCAGAAGCCTTCTCCCCAACATCTAAGGTCAGCTTTCAGTGTATGAGTTTGTCTGTTCTGAACATTCTGCTAAATGATGTCACACACATGGTCTTTTGTAACTGGCTTCATCCACATCCACTGACTGTAATGTCTTCAGGGTCACCAACCTTAAAATGAATGTCAGGACTCACTCTTTCTATTGTCCCAGGCTGTTCCTCTGTATATCTGCTGTGGGCCTTGGATAATCCTCACTTTTTGTCAGCCCCCCACTCTGTTTGTTCTTAAAGGTTTGGGGACAAGGGGAGATTGCGTCCCTCTCTTTCCGACATTAGAACTCCGCCCCCCCCCCAAACAGAAACTATTCTCTGGCCCTGGTCCTGCCCAAGAAACTGCTTCTGTTAATGTTCTCCCACACTGCTGTCTTAAAATCTCAACAGCACTTGTCGATCATTTTAGGTAAGCCCATTCCAAAGCATTCCAGTGAATCAAAGTTAATTTTGTGTTCTACTGCAAATAGTGTGTTCTCCTGATGCAGGCACTAACTGTATTTGGGTCCGTGCTCGGGTACTGCACCAAGATGATGAGTGAAACCCGGATCTCCACCCCTACATGATGAGGGAAAGATTCTGAATCTGGAGTTTCATTCTTTGCGTTCTTTGTCTACACTACCGCTGTTGACCACCACAACCCAAGGGAGGTGCGGAAGGCTGAACGCGGTGGAACTTGGTACTTTGAGTCCGCTGGTCTGAGTGCTCAAGACCGCCAGCAGAGGGCGCGCACTCTTTCCAAAGCTTGCCAGTGGGGAGAAATGAGCATGCTCCGGAATTTGCGTTTTCCGGCAGAGTGGCGGAACAGTCCTATCATTTGGTGTCATTTTGCGACACCTCGGTGAGACGCTCAGCGGCAGTGAGGCTGTCATGGCGTCGCCCTTCAGTGGGGTACTACAGCTGACCGACCTGGATGACTTCATCGGGCCGTCTCAGGTGGGCCGGCCAAGGGCAAGTGCGCAGGAGGAGGGGCCGGGCCTGGCCGTGCGCAGCGGGAAACCTCTCCCACTGGTGTCTTTTCCTGAGCACGAGAACCGACCCAGGGCCCAGGGCCCAGGCCCCAGGGCCTCAGTCAGTCTGGTTCCCTTCTTACCAACACAGACAACTGAGGCCTGGGAGGGCTGGGCAGCCAGCTACTGGACCCCAAGATGTCCAGGAGGGATTTCCAGAAGCTATGGGAGTATTTAGGGGTGACATGAAGGCTTAATGTTACAAAAATGGGGGTTCCTAGTAGTGTCACCCAACTGGTCATGCAGAGACATGATTGGGGCCGCACAGCCTCCACACACTTGTGAGACGTCCCTTCCCGCCCTTCTGTCAGAGCCAGTTTGTTCATCTCAATGGAAGGGCCATGCTGAAGGGACACGTGAAATGCCCACTTGGGCCACAACCATAGCTAATGTTCTTGACCTTCCCTTGAGGAAGATACAAGGGACTCCAGACAGTCACACCTAAAAACAGGAGCGGGTGCCCTTGCCTTGGTTTTTCTTTGTCCCCAGAGCTAGTAGTTCTGTAGCCAAGTCCCATGATCCATAGAAGAGAGGTTGAGCAGCCACTCAGGCAGGATGAACTGGGGCATCTTGCCTGGGACTGGACATCTGGAAGGCCATCTCCTAGAAGGCCACCAAGGTTCTGGAGGCAATAACAGGAGATGTTAAGGGGAAGGGGAGAAACATGATGTTCCATCTGCAGCAGTAGGTTTAGAGGTGACCTCCAGAGCTTCCAAGGAAAGCATTCCAGTCAGGCCGTGGCTTCTTGACACATGGCCTCTGGTGATGTGCTGCTGTCTGCACTTAGGAAGGATGGGCTTGTCAGGATTTCTGCAACATTAGCTAGCATATCGTTACCACCAGTCTTCATGCAGATCTGGACCCAGAGAGTGAGTGACCTTGGTGATAGTCTCACCTTTTACAGAAAAAGGGCAACCAGAGCTCAGCGTGGCTTCAGTGGCAAGAATGTGGTGTGCTTCACTCTGTGGCCAGCAGCCAGCTATCCCTGAGGCCCAGTTACCTTCCCCTAATAGAGCCTGCTTTGGGGTCTCTTCCTGGTGTAGAATTGTATCAAGCCTGTGAAGGTGGATAAGAAGCCGGGAAGTGGCATAGCCAAGATCCACATCGAAGATGATGGGAGTTACCTCCAAGTGAACCCAGTAAGAAGCCAGAGGTCTCACCTCGTCCCTGATGGGGGCTGGTGGCAGGTGGGGGCGGGGTGCTGGGGTGCAGATCTGAAACATACCTTCTCTGCCTCATCCAGTCACAGATGTGGCCACCCTGGAACTCCCTGAATCTCACCAGTTCTGTCTCACTGGTCACAGTCACTGGGGACCTTGGGGAGCTAGGAGGGTGGGTAGGGATGCTCAGGTTGAGCAGCCAGCCTGTTCTGTTCTGCATGGGGACCTTTTGTGGAGATGGAGAATTCTTCCCACCACCCCTTGCCCCTACTTCTAGTAGCATAAGATTTTCTGGTTTTGGCCCCTCAAGCCCCTCTGTCCTGTTTAAATGAAAATTAACCCTGACTAGCTGCCCTATGTATTCTGAAGAATGCCTTCAAACTCCCATGCACCAGGAGAGATGACTCAGCAGTTAAGAGCACTGGCTGCTCTTCCAGAGGTCCTGAGTTCAATTCCCAGCAACAACATGATAGCTTGCAACCATCCATTATGAGATCTGGTACCCTCTTCTGGCCTGCAGGCATACATGCAGACAGAACACTGTATATGTAATAAATAAATAAATCTTTAAAAAAAATCCCATGTACCACTGTATTGAAAGTGATGCCCAGCCATGGAACATGGGAGGGACCTTGGGTATGTTCAGGGAATGGGTGTGCAGATCCCTGTGAACAGTGAAGAGCAGCAGGATCAAGCTATAACAGAGAAGGCCAGCTGTCTGTCTACAACAGTGACCTTGTAAAACCATATCACCAGCTAGACCCCAGTGCACCAGGAGGCCCTGGTTCTCATTAGGGGGTCCCATGGATGGAGGGACAGAGGGAGGTGCCTGTCGCCATTGGGCTGTGCTTTAAGGACAAGTGGCTTCATCTTTGTGATGCTGCTGCAGCCCAGGCCTATGGGCCATGGGTCTCTTGGTGTGGATTAACCTCAGGTTGGGGCTCTGGTGTAGAGTAGTTCAGAGAACAGTTCAAGGGACTTCTAAGCCTCTAGGCTTACTCCTCCGGTCAGTTTGGACCCCTGTAGCTCAACTGGCCCTAGCTCAGACCATTCCTGCATCTGTAGGAGGGTTGAGGGGCTCAGGCTGGGTTCAGTCTACTGTCATGAAAAAAGGAAAGTAAATAAAAATGAAGAGTGGATGGCAAATAAACCCCCAGTTGGCTCTCACGCTGGCTGTTGGTGTGAGTGGAGCCAGGTGGTGCTTTATTCCCAGCACTCAGGAGGCAGAATCAGGTGGATCTCTGTGAGTTGGAGGCCAGTCTGGTCTATAGGGCAGGTTCCAGGACAGCCAGAGACAGAAAAACCCTGTTTTAGAGACAGGTCTCTAAAAATAAACAAACAACAACAACAAAAAAAACTATGTGGAATGAATGCCCGGCCCATCCCCCACAAGACCCTCTGCTCCAGATTCTGCTCCCCTGCAGGATGGAAGAACCCAGAAGCTGGAGAAAGCCAAGGTCTCCCTGAATGACTGCCTAGCATGCAGTGGGTGTGTCACTTCAGCAGAGACGGTGCTCATCACCCAGCAGAGTCATGAGGAGCTGAAAAGGGTTCTAGATGCTAATAAGGTAAGCAGTGAGGATCCCTGGCAGCCTATAGCATACTTCCGCAGGAGAAATTCACCTGGTCCACCCATCTGGCTTCCAGTAACTCCTGCATCTTTAGGTTTCTTGGCTCCAGTGTCAGTGTTCTCTGACACTAAGTGTTAGGTCTGGGGCTTTGGGTTGAGTTCTCAATGTCAACATGGTCGACTGCCGTGTGACTGATGGCATCTGACTACAGAGGCTGGCTTCTGGCCATCTGTACAAAGCCTGCACAGCCAGAGACTTTTGCATTCCAGGTAGCAGCACCCAGTCAGCAGCGGCTGGTGGTCGTTTCTGTCTCACCCCAGTCCAGAGCATCACTGGCTGCCCGGTTTCAGCTGGATTCCTCAAACACTGCCAGGAAATTAACTTCATTCTTCAAAAAAATAGGTAGGTGCAGAACCCTGGGTAAGCGAGGGCGGCTGGTATCAGGACTCCTCCCGCCCCCAAGGCACACATCACTCACTCTGAACTAAACATAGGTGCTCTCCCTAGTTTGACTTGAGCTTGAAGTTTCACTCTGATGGTTGAGATCAGGATCTTAGGAGAGAAGTCACCTGAGTTCTGGCTTGTACTTTCGTTGACTGTTCACCATTCCCTGGGTGTTTGCATTTACTTGAGTCTTTTGGGTTTTGTTATTAGTGTTTGGTTTTTGGAAACTAGGTCTCAGATGACACTGGCTTGGACCTGGTTCCCTACCTTCACCTAGCAAGTGCTGGGATTACATGCCTCCTGCCTCAGCTTCCTTAGTACTTGGATTACAGATATGTGCTACTGTACCCGTCTTCAGATACTATTTGTTTTGGTTTTTTTTAAAGATTTATTTATTATGGCCGGGAGTTGGTGGCCCACGCCTTTAATCCTAGCACTCGGGAGGCAGAGGCAGGTGGATCTCTGAGTTCGAGGTCAGCCTGGTCTACAGAGCAAGTTCCAGGACAGGTTCCAAAGCTACACAAAGAAACCCTGTCTGGTGAAAGGGGAAAAAAAAAAGAAAAAAAGAAAAGATTTATTTATACAGTGTTCTGTCTGCATCTGTCCCCGCAGGCCAGAAGAGGGCACCAGATCTCACTTCAGATGGTTGTGAGCCATCATGTGGTTGCTGGGAATTGAACTCAGGACCTCTGGAAGAGCAGCCAGTGCTCTTAACCTCTGAGCCATCTCTCCAGCCCCACTATTTTTTACATGTTATTTGCATATTTGTTTTGGGTGTGTGAATGTATGTGTGGGTCACAGGACCATTTTCAGGACTTGGTTCTCTCCTTCCACCACATGGGGAGCAGGCATCAAACTGAGGTCATCAGGCTTGACAGCCAAGGATGTCTCCTTGCTGAACCATCTCCCTGGATCTAGTTAACTGTTTTTCAGTCATGTTGTCACATCTGTTGTGTTCTGCCTTGGGTCATCTTTGGCTGAACTCTGTGCCAGGAATTGTGGTGGAGGAGGACCTGGGTATTTTGAAAGCTCCCTGCTAAGTCAGGGTCCCAGCACCAGAGTGACCAGCAGCTCATCCTGGGAAGTGGAGGGACTGGGCATGGGCACTGATGGTCCCACCTCACAAAATTCTGCTCCTGTCTGTTAGATGACCTGGCAACTTATTGTGCAGCATGACCAGGAGTCTCGAAAAGGACAACTACTGATAGGCAGGCACCCCATGCTCTTGTGTGACACATGTGTATCATGAGGCCTAACCCTTGCTGTGATATTAGGAGCCATCCTAAGTCCCCAGGGTCCTAGGAAAAACTAGCAGGTAGTTCTGAGAAGAGAAGAACACTCAGTCCCACATCACCTCAGGACTATTCCCAGTCCTAGGGAGGACTGAAGAACCAGGAGCACAGTCTTCCACTGGAGCCCTGCAGGAGCTCCAGCTTCTGGCTTGGGGCAGGCAGGCAGAAGTCTACAACATTTCACTGTGGCCAAAAGACCACCGAGATACATCTGCATAGTTCATGCAGGGGTGCAGCAGTGTGGCCACACAGGTGGCCCTAGCCCTCAGAGATGCAGTCATCAGGAGGCCATTGAATAAGGCAGAGACCTCTGTATGCACCACAGGTTGGACTGGAGGAGGCCAAAGCATCCAGGGGCCAAACCCTACTGGCATGAAAGATTTAAACACATTTAGGATGGTGCCAAGGAGAGTATGTTCTTTAGGAATTCACTATGGGGGCCAATGGTGGGGCCACTGAACAGCTCTTGGGGCATCTACACTGTATGTGCTGTACCTGGTAAAACAATGCTTCCCAGAACTCCCATAGAAATGACATGCTGTGGTACCACTCGGGCAGAGCCCTACTCTTGGCCTGTGGTCCATAGTGCTGCTCTGCTCAGGACAGAGGTGGTCAGATGCTGGTTTTTGCCATGGCTAAGGCTAAGGCACATGCTCACCTTCCATCACCTTCCAGGGGTACACTTTGTTTTTGATACTACCTTCGCAAGGAACTTCAGCCTTTTGGAAAGCCAGAAAGAGTTTGTGCAGCGATTCCGAGGGCAAAGCAACTCTAAAGAGGCCTTGCCCATGTTGGCTTCTGCCTGCCCAGGTATGTCCATGGCTGAATGGCTGTTCAATTGAAGTTAGGATTTGATGATATACTGACATCTTGACAAGAAAAATGGGAATGATGAGGGTGGGGGGGTATCTTGACAGAAGGGTAGAAAGTCAATACCTAGGAGGTACGTAAGGCCTAAGACATCACCTGTAGTCACCAGTTCCCATTGGTGATCACCTAGATGCCAGCCTTCCTTGTGACAGTGATGACAAGAGAAATATTTTAATGCCACAGTAATTTCTTGTATGACTCGGTCCACCCCCAGAATGTCATGTCACTGCCAAGAGGAGAACAGCTGTTTGTGAACCACCCCCAGGCCTGCCCTATGCACATCCCAGACCTTTTTGTTCTTTTTGGCTCAGGCTGGATCTGCTATGCTGAGAAGACACATGGCAATTTCATCCTCCCCTACATCAGCACAGCCCGGTCCCCACAGCAGGTTATGGGCTCCCTGGTCAAAGACTTCTTTGCCCAGCAACAGGTAAGAAAGAGGACTGGGCATCTCCAGACAACATAATGAGGAGTGGTTAGCTGTGACACAGGAGTAAGAGATGGCCCACTGATTGGCCACTGATGCCTTGCCTGTTACCATGCACCTTCTGGAGGTGTCTGGGTGACTGGAACCTAATGGCAGCTGCCAGTGGAATAAGCTTGGCCTCAGTATCAATCTTGCCCAGCTAGCCTGCCACTACCTGGGCTGTCTTTTGTCAGGTACCAGGGGGCCCAGTTCTGATATAAAGGCACTGCTCGGATCTAGAGGTGGCTAGACTCCACATTTAGGGAGCAGGAGACCAAGGTCTAGAAGCACAGTCCACCGGCTGCTGGGTGAACAAATCAGATCTCATCTGAGGTCATTTCCAGTGATCCACTGAACCCAGCCTGCAGTCAGCCACTGCTAGAGGATGAGGAAGGGAGCTGGCTTCTATTGTACCTGAAACCACGAGCACTGGCATCAATCGTTTGCCTTCCCTCTACATGTGCATGGCCACACTTCCCTCGAGTCTGTGCTTTTTCCACTGCGACGTGTTCTTTCTTTCAAAGGCAGTGAGAGCTTATCTCCTCTGTTGCCACTGGCTGTCAGGGACAGAAGCAGGAGAGGTAATGTGTGACTGTGGTCATATGATGGCTAGTGGGCGTGAGTAACTGCTCGAGTCATGCCTGGCAGTCACTCTGCCTCACCTTTCGTTGAGGCCACTTCTGAGCTTGGCTTAGATGGAACTGACGCTTTCTATACCCTCTCTGTAGCATCTGACTCCAGACAAGATCTACCATGTGACAGTGATGCCCTGCTATGACAAAAAGCTAGAAGCATCTAGACCTGACTTCTTCAACCAGAAGTACCAGACCCGTGACGTGGACTGTGTCCTTACAACAGGTGCAGGCACTATGCATAACTCTACCCTCTGCTGTCTTTAGGGCTCCCCTAGAGCCAAGCACTAGAGTCCAGCAGATAGCCGGGCCTTCCCACAGTGCCTCCCAGGATCCTGTGACCAATGGAGCCCCTGTAATATATTCTTGCTGGTTTAAAAATGAGTCTTGAGGGCAAACAAGGTCTCAAGTCTAGTCCCTGTGGTTCATACCTTCACCCCACTTCTGAGTAGAGTAGCCTGTCCTACTGAAGAGTCAGGAAAATAAACTGTTTAGAAGACTAAACAGCCTGCCCCTGGACTGGCAGAGTGGCCCTGCCTTTACAATGCTCCAGGAAGGAACACCTTCCAGTAGGTCTGCAGAGGCTGGCTAGACTCAACCATCCCACCACAAATGGGAGTGAGTGTCCCTCTGGGGACAACACATACAGCTCAGCATTCTGAGGCCAGCTAGAGCATGTGATGTGTTCTCTGTAGGAGAAGTCTTTAGGATGCTGGAGGAAGAAGGAGTGTCACTCTTGGAGCTGGAGCCTGTGCCCCTGGATGGCTTGTGAGTTGGTGGTGGGGACTGAGAACCTTTATTTGGGATTAGATGCTGCCTGTGGGGTGGGGCAGTGTCTTGTCCCCTCCTTTCTACCCAGGCTGCCTTCTGGCTGACTCCAGACCTCCCCACAGCCTGGCTGGGGCCCAAGAGTGGCTGAGTTACAGTGTCAAAGCAGAGCCTGCTCTAGAAGCCATCTGAGCTTCCCAGGGCCACCATAAGAACAGTTCTTAAGGTCTGACTACAAGAGCTGTATTGAGCCCCAGCCTCCTGCACTGACCCGCCCCTCTCCCAGAACCTGTAGTGTGTCTGCTGAGGAGCCCACCAGCCATCGGGGTGGAGGCTCAGGAGGCTACCTGGAGCATGTGTTCCGGCACGCAGCCCAAGAGCTCTTTGGAATCCATGTGGCCGACGTTACCTACCAACCCATGAGGTTAGTGGGGCAAGCACTGAAGTGAACTTGGGGGAAAGACCCCTGGAACTCTTGGGTCCCCTCTTACAAGCATGAGGCATGAGCAAACAGGCCAGTGTACTGTCCTCAGTTTCAGCAGGGACCCTGAGCCAGGGCAACACACACAAGGACTAGCAGGTGCCTGGCATGGGTATAGCACCTGGGGCTGGGGTGTCACACTTTGCTGGGCTTCATGGCTGCCCTTGGGAAAAACAATCCTGTTAGCTAAGGAGGTCAAGGTTGGGGTGAGGTTACCTGGGCCCATGGATGCAAACTGTGTCCCCCTCTCCATCATCCCTGCCCTGCCTGCAATCGGAAAGGGACAGAGTCAGATGGTGGTGTGCTAAAACCCAGGAGGCGTCTGCACCTGGGCAGGGACAGGTTTGCATGCAATGTGCAGTTTCACGAGCCTATTTCTACGCTTTCAGGAACAAGGACTTCCAGGAAGTGACACTGGAGAGGGAAGGCCAGGTGCTGTTGCGCTTTGCTGTGGCCTATGGTTTCCGCAACATCCAGAACCTTGTGCAGAAGCTGAAGCGAGGTCGCTGTCCCTACCATTATGTGGAAGTCATGGCCTGCCCTTCAGGTAGTTCCTCCTAGTCTAGCACAGCAGCCTGCCACCAGTGGAAGGAGGAAGGGGTTGGACAGGAGGGGGGGGCAGGTCCCCTCCCCACACACACCCAAGGGTTAGAGGGCTAAACCCTGACTTCCCACCACCATGCCTGTGCTCTGCTACAGGCTGCTTGAATGGAGGGGGCCAGCTCAAGGCCCCAGATATGCAAGGCAGGGAGCTCCTCCAGCAAGTGGAAAAACTGTACAGCATGGTGAGGAATGAGGCACCCGAAGACGCACCTGGGGTCCAGGAGCTGTACCAGCACTGGCTGCAAGGTGAGGGCTCCGAGCAGGCCAGCCGCCTGTTGCACACACAATACCATGCCGTGGAGAAGACCAACTCGGGCATCAGCATCAGGTGGTAGGAGGCCTTGAGAGGCTGTGAGAGCCCCAGGGGCCAGCACCAACACTCCCAGGAAGACCATGTGTGTATCAGCAACGGATTCCACACAGAGAACACACTGGAGACCTTCAAAATTCAAGGAGAGCTACAAGGATGTGTTGGATTGTGTGCTAAAGTGGGGCACTAGCTGCATGTGGGTCCTTGGCAGTACATGACCTGCGTGCCTCTGGTTGGTAATGTTGCCATGGCCCATGCACCTCCAGATTCCACACTGAGCTCTGCAGGGTAGAAGTGCAAGCAGGGTCCGGGTAGCCAAGGGGGCCAAAGGTTCAATGAGGTTCCAGAATCTCTTCTACTGGCCTAGGGCCATGGGCATCTTCCCTGCCCAGCCCTCTGGGTTATGAGCACAGTTTCATTTCTGTGGCTAACTCCTGAAGCTAAAATGTATAGGGCAGGTATCAAGCCTGAGTCTAGTGGGGCACCTGATCCTCTTAAAAACTGGCTGCTTGCTGGGGCCTTGCCGTTTGGGCAGTCTGTCAGCACCAAGCCTGTATGGCTGTGAGAAGTCCATAGCTGAGTCTCACTGAGCTTGTCACTCACCCAGCCTCACCACTAATAAACAGGTCTGCACTTCTGGAAGCATCTGCTGCATGTCTGACACCACACTGAGCCTTTCAAAATTTTATTCATTCCCCTTCTCAGTCCCCAGGACACATATGTCTCAAGGTCCACAAGAGTGGTACCATGAGCAGTAGAGACAAGGACAGCACCGTTTGCTGGTTCTACAAAGCAGGGTGGAAGGCCTCAGAGGGATGTTCTGGGGGCCAGGGTTCCAGTCAGCCTGAAGTTCAGGCTGGAACTGAACTGAAGTCAGTTGCTGTCCGGAGAAGGGGTGTGAAGACAAGCAGGCTCATTTTTCCTGGGGCGTACTCAGAAGTCCCCACTGCAAGGCCAGGAGTGCCCGGACCTGGGGCTGCAGTGGCTCCAAAGCAAGCTGGAAGCGTGCTCGCTCCCTGCAGAGTACCTCCAGGACCTGGGCAGGTGCCACTTGGCCTGTGAACTCACGAACTGGATCCTCTCTACAGGGAAGAGTATGCTGGGGAATTGTGGGGCTGGCCAGCTGCCCATGAGGGTGGGGCCCAGCAGGGCAGTGGATGGAAGGAGGAGGGCCCTTAACAAATGCCCTTCCCTGGTGCCAGGGACATTCAGCTCAATAAATAATCCCTAGATACCCTCCTAACTACCCAAATGACTGCCAAAGAGGCCCCAAGGATGCCAGGCTAGTCCTGAGACTGCTCCATGGGGAGACTAGCTGGCAGTGCACACAGCCTCTTGAGGCTGCCCCCACCCACTGGTATGGCTCAGGCCCCACCACAGGAAGGCCCAGGACACAGCCATACTTACGTCACCCTCAAGAAAGGGTTGTACAACAGCTCCTCGCCCAGTGTAGAGGGCACAGTAGGTATATCATCGTCATCCCTCTTCTGCAAAGAACACAGGCCCCTGATCACAACTGGGCTCCACAGAGGAGATTAAGGTAGGTGACAGAAAGTCTGCAGCAGGACAAAACCTGGTTTAGCCAGCTGTAACCTGCAGAAGCACCATTCTGACTCTCCAGTGGCTCCCTTTCTGTACTTCCCCCAAACTTGAGGAAGACTACTCTAGCCCCCACCCCTGTTGTGAGCCAGAAATGGATGTACCTGGGCCCAGGACAGCTTAGCTTGCACATGGTTGTTGCAGGGCTCCACTTTCTGTGCAAACTCAAGATTGCTCAGTGTATGCTCGTGACCACAGAACACCTTCTGCAAGAAGAGGGAGCTCAGTGAACACACATTGCCCCAAGCCAAGGAAGGGGCAGGCCCTCATCCCTAACCTAGCATCTAACCCACCCAGGTCCATACTGCCTTTACCAAAGCAGAACAGGTATAGAAGCACAGGTTATTCCAGAAAGAAATCCAGTACCAAGCATGTGGACCCTACAGAAGGCTCTCACCGTCTGGGGTGGCAGGGTACCCAGGATCTTGGCCAAGCTCTGGTACATCTGCTGGGCAGTGTCCTCCAGATGCCAGCCACAGCCTGCCACTGACAGAGCATCCCCTAGAGAGGAAAAAGGGTCAGAAGGGGGTAGGGAGGGCACAGTGGAATTGCATAAGTGGATGAATCCAGGTTGCAAGGTACCAGAGAAGAGGGCTGGTGGGTCCGGGCATTCATCCTCCCACAGGAAGTAGCTCATGTGGCCAGTGGTGTGGCCCGGCGTCAAGAGGCATCGCACGTGGATGGCCCCAAACTGCGACGGTGAGGCATTGGACCTGTGAGAGCTGGTGGGCAGGCCCGGGCCATGCCCCTCCCCACCCCTGGGGACATGCTCACCCGAAGCTCCTCCCCATGTGACAGCCTGCGGGTTAGTGCGCAGATGCGCTCATCAGCTCCCATGACCTCCAGTCCTGGCCGCAGGTGCGCCAGCTCCGCATTTCCACGCGTGTGGTCCCTGTGGAAATGCAGGAACCTGGTCAAGTCAGGGGTGGAGGAGTCTGTCTTAGGCCTCGGAGAACACCCTCTTTACTTACCAGTGGTGATGGGTGGTCAGCACCGTGGTCAGAGACACTTCCTCGCGGGCTGTAATCTCCAGCAGCTGAAAGACAAGAGTTGTAGTGCTGTGGGCCACCCATCCCATACTGATGGGGCACTAGGTTCAGAGCTTAGTTCTCCAGGCAGGCCCAGGACTCAGGGCAGCAAGGGTTAGGGGAGACATCAGACAGTCAATTACAAGTACTAGGGCACCACAAACACCAAAGGTAGCTATAATTTCAGGGGAGCCCAAAGACACTACATCAAATGCTGTAAAAATATAGAGGTTCGGGTCTGCTCCAGCCAGGAGGTAGGGAGTCCCTTGATGGCCTCCTTTGTCCGTCCTCACCCTCTTGGGCACAGCCACGTCCACAGCCACTGCCTCCCGTGTGTGCTCCTCAATGATCAGGTACATGTAGTTGTCTTCAAGTACCGGGATGACTTTGACCTTCATAGTCGCAGACCTCAGCCAGTCCGAACCTCCAAAAGAGGTGCCCCAGTCTAGTGAATCTCTTCTCCTGAGCTGCACGAGGCAGGTCAGCCACACACACACTGGGGGTACAAAGAAAGAGTTGGTCCGCTGCCCAGGAGCTTCTCAGAGGACCGTTTCAGCTCCAAACTCCAAGCAAGACTAGGGGACCGGCGGCCCTGCTCACCTTAGACCCCGCCCCTTGTTCCAGCTTCACCTTCCCCCAAAAGCTACACAGCAATGCGGTTTTCTTCTAGCCCCGCCCCATGATTCCGGTAGGCCCCGCCTTCCTCCACAGACCCCGCCTCTCTCAACTACAGTGAGACCCTCAAGGCCTGGGATGTCCTCGTTCCTTGCTGTCCTTCTCACCCACACAAGAGCCGCCAGCCTAGCGTCCCTGACAGAGTGTAGCCGCTGCCCACCACGCTCCGCCACTCCCCAGGCGCGATCCTGAATGCTGCCGAGACCTGACGGGCAACCGTAGGTATTGCGCCTGCGCAAAAGGGAATACGCGCACCGATAGGGAGCAGTGTGGCGGAGTGAGCATGCTCCAACTCAGCATCAGACAAGGGCACCTCCTCAAGTTATCCTTCCTGGTGCCCAGGCTGAGCTAGTTCGCCAGGTCCCACTGCTCCTGATTATGCCCACTTCTCTCAGACAGAGGGTGGTAGTGGGGTTTGTCCCGCTTGTTTACCTGCTGGTGTTGAGTTTGGCTGATACAGAAAGATATGCAAGGGTCTAGAGTTACAAATCCCTACGGGGTGGGGGTGGGGGACGGCGTAGGACATTCAATATAAAGAAAACTAGTGCCCACAGCTACAGGTACAGGTTTGGTGTTGCCATGCACTCCTGGATCCAGTGGCCTGAAATAAACGGGATGCCTGTCTGTATTTCCCAGATGACACAGGGCCCATGAAGGAATGGAATGTGGAAGGAGCTGAGCACTCTCCTCTCTTCCCTAAGCACTGGACGGCCTTGCCCTTCCTTGTAGGCAGGATGATCAGTCTCTAAGATCAACACAAGCCTTAGCAACACTGGCAACACTACAGCAACAGTCAGGAAGCAAACCTCCATCAGACAGGTTCTGGGCTAGAGTTCCTGTCCCCTATGGATTATGTGGCAGCCCCAGGCCCCAGGCCAGGGGCCCCACTTCAAGTCACAGAGAATGTGAGTCTTCCTAGGACACTGATGTTGCTTTGGGGTCCTTCCTTTCCTTCATAGACCAGAAGGGATGAAGTCCCTGGATCCTGTGTCTGTTCCTGTCCAGAAAAGGAGCAGGCGTTGTTCAGGAGGACTGAAATGCCTCTATAAGAGTGGGATCCACAGGCCATGTTGGAGACCTACCTAAATGTGGGGTGGTGGTACCTTCCCAGGTTGTTCCAGGAGCTGAGGACTGGCTGCCAAGAGTTTCTGGACACCCAGCCTGGGCTACCAGCCTGGAAGCAGAGAATAAAACAGATCCAGAGCTGAGTGAGAAGCAGCAGTTGCAGGTGGGTGTGGGGCTGTGGGGTTCTGGTAGGAGCAGAGAGCCCACGATGCCATTGGCAGCATCTCTTACCCTGGTTACACACAGATTTCCAAGGAGCTAGTTGATCTTCAGATTGCAACCCATCACCTTCATCAACAGCATGAAGCTGAAGTCTTCGAGCTGAAGAGGGAAGTGAGTAGCCAAACAAGCTATGTGTGTCAGCCTGAGTGCATTCAGGAACAGAGTGCATACCGAGGACAAGTGCCATCTTGGGGTTCAGGTGCCTCGGAATAAGTATGTACTTTGTGTCTGTAGGCTTTTCCCTGGTCCCTATATATGTGCCCCTGCATGTGCCCCAGGTGAATACCTACTTGCTCCAGGTGGTCCAGCAGATAGCCCTGCTCACCCTTGATGTCCACAGGTTCTTCGACTGGAAAGTCGGGTGCTAGAACTAGAGCTGCATGGAAACGGTGACTACCAGGGACATAGAGTACAACCATCAGCCAATCCTGGGCACTACCAGGTGCCACCACAAGAGGTTAGTGGAGAAGCCCAGGCCTGAATGTCACCTACCACAGACTCCAGGTTATCAGGAGCTCTTAGAGAGCCCGGCTGGGCACCTCCACGGGGGCAGTGAAATGGGTGTCTGCTGTTCCCTTCCCTCCCCTCCCCTCACTTCCCTTCCGACCATGAAGGTGCAGCTCAAGAAAGACAGATTCTCTGAGCCTGAGAGCCTGAGCAATGTGAGTACACAGCCTCCTAACACGGGGGTCTACCTGCTTGGGGCTGTGGGGATTCCAGAGTTTGATGTCTCTCACATAGCCAGCTTTTTCTCACCCTACAGCCATCAGGAGGCCAGCAGAAGCTGCAGGAAGAACTAAAATGGGTCCTGGAGCATCACAGAGTCAGGCAGCAGGCGCTGGAGACACGAGTGTGAGTTTTACCTTACCTAGAACCAGCAGATCCCAGTGCCCAGAAAGATCCTTCTTCGGGGGATGAGGGAGTGAGTACCTCACCCTGGCCTAGCTGGGCCTATGCTGTGTTCACAGGGCAGTCCTAGGCCAGCAGCTGCAAGGAGCCCAAGAGGAAGCCAGGGTAGCTGGTCAGCGACTGGCTGCCCAAGCCACGGTGAGGGCTTAGCCACCCTGTGAGCCTCAAGATCTAGCAGGAGGGAGTCCTACAAACGGAACAAGAGCCCCTTGTGCACTCCCAGGTGCTGTCTACCTGTCAGGGTCAGCTCCGGCAGGCAGAAGCTGAAAATGCTGAGCTGCAGTTGCAGTTGAAGAAGCTAAATGAAGAGTATGCTGTCCGGCTGCAGCGTTATGCCAAAGAGACAGTGGTGAGCACTTAGGTTCTGTGGTGGTCAGAAGTGGCCTCTGAGTCTTGAGGGGGGCAAGTCTGGCCTGGGCATGCTAGACAATTATGGGGAAACTTTGTGGTTCCAGGCCCCTGCACAGCCAGCTGGGGTAGGAGGTGAGGTTGGGCTCAATCAGTGCTACCCTGCCCGACCCAAGCCCAGCTCCTTCAGCTTGGCTGCCTAACCTAGTCCAAAACCAGCCCCAGCCCTGGCTCTATCCTATCCACCCTCCTCCAGGAGACTGCCAATAGCACAGATCAGGCAGCCCTTCAAACATTCCTGGAGGCCACTCTGCAGGACATTCGGGCTGCACACCGAAGCAGAGAGCAACAATTGGCCCAAGCTGCCCGGACCTACCGCAAGCGCCTGGCAGATCTGAGCTGGAGGCAGGAGTTGCTGCTAACAACATGGAGGTGGGCTCTACCCTGACCCAGGCACCTGGGGTGGGGTGGCCCCACATGACCTGCACTGTGGCTTATCATGCTGCAGGAGCAGTCCTAGACACAAATAGATCCCAACAGGGCACATGGTACTCCCAGGGCTACTTTTGCAACAGCCATCAACCTGGAACCATTACCCATGCAGTGGGCCACTGAACTCAGCCACCGAAGGGAGGATGAGGTAATGCTGGGGCCCAGGTGCCCCATCCCTGCTGCCTGAAACTGCCTTGAAGCCAAGAGCCCTAGCACTCACCCTAGACCTCATCCCAAGCTCAGAGCCTTTGAGCAGTTGGCCTTGTTCAGTCAATCAAGGGAACCCACCATGTGCTTTTACAGGATGGCGGACATAGGACACTGCTACTGTGCCCAGAAAAGGCACCTGGTGAAGCTTCCAAGGAGGGCCAGCCACAGCCTCTGTGAGTCCCCTCCTGTTGGTATAGGGAGGTCTAGGAGTCAGGCAGAAAGCTGCACAGCTTTCCTCCATTCTGGCATCCCTTGCTGCTGGCTGGGATTCTCTTGTCCCTGCTCTGGGCTATCTCAGTTTATATAGGGGACACTGGTAACCATAGAAAAAATGGATGGCTGCTTCTGATACGTGAAACTTGGTTTGGTGGGAGCTGACAGTCTGGTGGCATGGCCAGCCCTAGCTTTGGGCCTCTACACCTGCTGTATAGCAGGCAGGCTCTTGAGGCAGCACTTCCCAGGGATTGGGGAAGAAGACACCTAGTATACCAGGAGTCACTGAGCAGGCCAGAGGGTCTCTAGGACACAGCAGGTATTATGCCTGCCTTGGAGACTGTCCCTCCTGCCCTCCTGCCCTCCTCCCCTCACAGAGCCCTGGACACTGCATCCTGGACCCAAATCCAACAGAAGCTGCAGGACTTCTCCCAGGACACTCAGGTACTGGATAAGTATGGTGGGAACTCCTCCCTACACACTGCCTTGGCTCATGGCTCATGCCTCCACCAGGCAGAGCTAGAACGAGAGCGGGCACAGCTGATGGTTCGGGCCACCATGGCAGAGCAGCAGCTTTCTGAGCTCCAAGAGTATGTGGACCAGCATTTGGGCAGGTAGGCCGGGTATGATCCCAAGGCTCTAATCTAGGAGAAAGGGAAAGAACCCAAGGCCAGACAGTTGATTTGTCTGATCATCCCAATCAGGTACAAGCAGGAAATCCAGAGACTGAGGAAGCTGATGAATACAAGAGATCCCCAGGGAGTAGAAGCTATGGCTTCCACCAGACCCCAGCGCCCAAGGACCCAGAGTCATTAGCTAGCTTGTCTCCCAGAGACAGCACAAATCAAACCTCTTCACAGCCACCATGAAACCCACTGCACAACCCACCCCATGGAGGATTCCTGGAACAAACAAGAGTCAGAATTGAACCCACAGAGTCTTTATTATATCAGTCAGCCAGCCTGTCAAACAACAGTCCTAGGGATGGAGGTAGAAGTGGACTTTGGGATGGCCTTGATGGGCACCCCACAAGAAGGCACGGCTGGCCCAGTACCATGGACATCATAGGCTCAGACTCTGTCCAGGCCTTCACCCACCGCAGCTACAGGCTGCCAGGCCCAGTACCATGGACATCATAGGCCCAGACTCTGTCCAGGCCTTCACCCACCACTGCTACAGGCTGCCAGGTGGGAAGGGGGAAACGTCCAGACACCACACGGGCCCCTGCAGGTAGTTCTACTTGCAGCTTGTCCTCCAGTAGTGGGAGCTGTAGAAAAGAACAGGAGGGAGGAGGGCACAGGAGCAGGTAAGAAAAATCTGCCCCGTCCAGCTAGGCCCAGAACCTATTCCAGGCCTCAGAACAACCAAGAGTGTGGCCCTAACCTTCCAGCAGGACAGCAGACCCAAGACCTACCACACTGGGGGCCAGGAACACAGACACATTGTGACAGTCTCTGAGGTTCACCTGTGGGAAACAAAGATAAAGATAAAAACAAAGATAAAGCGTGGAGGGCATGGGGTCACTAAGTTCTAGCCTCCAGCCCACCCAGGTGTCAGCATGGTAGCACGCAGAGCATGAAACCTGGGAGATAAAGGTATCAGGAGCTGGAGATGTGACTCAGTCGGTAGAGTGCTTGCCTAGCATACACAAAGTCCTGGGTTTGATCTTAAGTTCTGCATAAACTAGGTCTGATGGCACATGCCTGTAATCCTAGCCCTCATGAGGTAGAGGCAGGAGTTCAATGTTATTCTAGGCTACATAGTGAGTATGAGATAGTCCTGGACTAGAGACCAAGCCCCCCCCCAAAAAAAAAAAAGATAAAGAAAATGAAGTTTGATAGGTTACCTTCCAGAGATCCTTTCGATGGTAGCAGACACTCCCAGAACAACCAGCCCTCCAGGCATGCAGTCGTGCAAGTCCCACAAGCCACGGGTTCAGCTCATAACCCACAGCTGGACGGAGACCACATTGGTGGGCCGCCAGCACCTATGAGAGCCAAGAGTGTGGGACCTGGATGTAGTGAAGGGACCACCACGGGAGGGACAACGAATAGACACTCGGGCCTTACGATCCTGCCATCACCAGAGCCTAGATCCACCATTTTTCCAGGGCGGCCTCGCAACAACGATAGCACGTGCTCAACCTGCCGGGCACTCGCGCCAACGTAGGGTACCTGAATAAGGAATTTGGTGGGCTGAGGCTAGAGTCACACAGACCAAAGCACCAGGTCGAGGATCGTTGTGTGCCTACTAGCTTTCCTTCCTTAGGTATCTGCCATACCCCTCCCCCCCCCCCCCCCTCCAGCCTCAGTAATTCAATCCTAGCTTCATTTATATCCCCTTGGTCATGATGGTAGGCCCAGGCCCTGCAACATATTAGTTCCACCTCCCGTACATTTGGTCCGCTGATTAGGTCCCGGAACCGTAATTGGTCCCGCCCATCTTTTCCAGCCACCTACGGGAGCCTTGATCCCGCCCATTGATCCTCGTCTCGCACCAGTTTTGGTCCCCGCTCCTTCTAAGGCCCCACGTCGCACCTGCAGCCTCAGAGGCACGCGGCGGAACCCGGGTTGCAGAAGCAGCGCCCACACAGCGTAGGCGGCC